AAGCAAGCTTGTTTTCTGCTGCCCTGGAGATTAGGATGCAATGGAACAATGGCTTCAGACTACATCTGAACTTCCTGACTGTGAGAGCTGTTCAGCAGTGGAACTCTCTGTCCCAGAGTATAGTTGAGGCGCCTTCTTTGGAGGCTTTGAAGCAGAGCCTGGTTGGCTACCTGTTAGGGGTTCTTTGAATGCAATTTACCTGCTTCTTGGCAGAATAGGGTTGGACTGGATGGCCCACAAGGTGTCTTCTGATTCTATGATTCTATGGTCCCTCCCGCCTAAGGACCCCATTCCTTTCTCATCATTTCATTGCCTGTTCATTACAATCATATCTAAAACGGCCTATTTGCCTCTTCCATTATTTGGATAATGTACTTGCCTTCAAGCCAAGTCAGGAATTTGTTGTGCTTGATACTCTTGGTTGTGATTGATTCCAACCGCTATCAAGATGACTGAAATCTCCAATCATTGCTATCTCCTCTCTGGCGTCCTCCAAGTTCTCTGATCTCTCCTGGGCACAATTTTAATTCATACATGTGTGGCTGTGGTGGAGCAATGGGTTAAATGCCTCCAGTGTCATCAGTGTCCCCCCGTCCCCCCCAGCACCAACCACTGCTTTTAGATCAGAGTGAAGAGAGGGGCCAGGAAAGCAGTACCATCTTGTCTCATGCACTGTGACATCTCCAGCTCATCCCTTGTTTGGGTATCAGCCAGCACGTCAACGACTTAAATCAAGAAATAGTTTTTAAGATCTACAGAGACACTCGCTGGAACACCTCAGCAAGCGAGAGTCCAAAAGTGGCAGCATCTCAATCCGTGGGTGATACCAGATGAGAGACTACCTCCTGGGCACACAGAAGACTGGGCGACTTGGAAGGCGCTGAACAGACTGCGCTCTGGCACCACAAGATGCAGAGCCAATCTCAAGAAATGGGGCTACAAAGTGGAATCCACGACATGTGAGTGTGGAGAAGAGCAAACCACTGACCACCTGCTGCAATGCAACCTGAGCCCTGCCACATGCACAATGGAGGACCTTCTTGCAGCAACACCAGAGGCACTCCAAGTGGCCAGAAACTGGTCAAAGGACATTTAATCAACTACCAAGCTTGCAAATTCTGTGTTTTGTCTGTTTGTTTGTTTTTGTTAAAAATGCAATACAAATGTCTGGTTGCTGATGACACGATAAATAAAATAAAAATATAATATATTGCATATACACATAATATTGATAACATTATTATGATGTAATGCAATATACTACTATTACTACTAAAATAATATAATAATTATATATTTTATATTAAATGTAACATTACTAATAATATTATAGTATAATGTTATAGTACAATGTAGTATATAATATTAATATTGTGCTATGATAATAATATATTGTATTTACTTTTACTTGTAAGCTGCTCTGAGTCCCCTTTGGGGTGAAAAGGGCGGGATATAAATGTTGTAAATAAATAAGTAAACCCTTATGTTGGCTGAACCGCTGACCTGAGGACCTGAAGGTCGGCAGTTCAAGTCTGCGAGACAGCGTGAGCTCCCATTTGTCAGCCCCAACTTCCCATGCGGGGATATGAGAGAAGCCTCCCACAGGATGGTAACACATCAGGCATCCCCTGGGCAAACGTCTTTGTAGACTGCTGATTCTCTCACACCAGAAGCGATTTGCAGTATATCCTCAATTTGCTTCTGACACAATAAAAAAATAATTCATAAATCTGTATGGATGTCATCTTTGTGTGCATTGCTTTTTAACCTTGATAAACTTTGGGGTGAAATTAAGTCCCACGGACATGAGCTTCTCAGCAGTTGTGATACCTTCAGTAACCAACCATGTAGCGAAATCATAACAGAGTCTTCTGGCTTTCATGGCCAGAATCACTGAGTTGTTGTAGGTTTTTTCAGGCTCTATGGCCATGGTCTAGAGGCATTCTCTCCTGACGTTTCGCCTGCATCTATGGCAAGCATCCTCAGAGGTAGTCTGAGGATGCTTGTCTGTTGGAGGCATTCTCTCCTGACGTTTCGCCTGCATCTATGGCAAGCATCCTCAGAGGTAGTGAGGTCTGTTGGAACTAGGAAAAAGAGTCAATTCCCTTAATATGGACTCTGTTTTGCTCTGCCCCTCTCTCGAGCACACTCCGCGGTTGCCGTCTGCATCAGGAAGACTGATTTTCCATGTCTTGAGGTCTGCTTACTGGAAATTTCACCTGATTCTGCCTCAGTGCAAACAGTCACAGTTCTGTTAAGGAAAGTGGAGAAAGGCCAGCAAACTTGGAGGCAAAGCTGAATTGCGCCTGGTGTTTCCAAAGAAACGGTTGCAAGGCCATGAAGTGCTCTGGCCCAAATCAGTGTTCTCCCTTGTGGGGAATTACGTGTGATAAATGGATGCCTTCATGGAACTGCAGAGCAGCGTGTAAGAAAAGATGTCAGTTGTCGGCTCTCCGGCAGCTGCTCGCCATGAATGCAGAGGGCTGATGAATGTCTTCTGCGGGAGTTCTGCTGCTCTTGTCTTGGGGGAGAAGATAGCCATGGCTCGCAGCTATACAAAAGCTGAACAAAAGTGGGCATCGCTTCTGATTGGAGCCTGCGCTCACTCTCTTTTGCCATTATGCGAAATCTGTGTACTTGTGAAGCGGATGGATGCTGCTGATCTTCCCTGGGATTCTTATCTTCCCTTTCCTACTCTAAAATGCTATCTCTGAAGACACAGGGCTTTTTAATGGGTGGCTGGAATGGCTTTGTTTTGAAGCCGCCACTCATCATCAGCCCCTTTCTGTATCACTTGAAGAAAGGCTTGTGATTCTGCTGAGATGAGAAGGATCCTCAGGAGAAGTTTTGATTATTCTGCTCAGTAAGAAAAGAATCTTATTATTGCTAGAACAGAGAAGCATCCTGAGCTCTGAAGATCACCTGGGAAGGAATCCCACTGGAGCATTTTTTTTTTTTGGGGGGCTACGGTTTGAAGGGGGGGGGGGGGGGTGGGGGTTTTTTTTTTTTTGGGGGGGGGGGGGGAGGTGGAGCATGGCAGTGCACCCAAATACCTGGGAGTCACTCTGGACCGTGACCTACAAGAAGCACTGCCTGAACATCAAGCAAAAAGGTGCTAGAAACAATATCATACGAAAGCTGACTGGCACAACCTGGGGATCACAACCAGACACAGTGAAGACATCTGCCCTTGCTATGCTACTCTGCTGCTGAGTATGCATGCCCAGTGTGGAACACATCTCACCACACTAAAACAGTGGATGTAGCTCTTAATGAGACATGCCCATTATCACGGGGTGTCTGCGCCCTACACCACTGGAGAAATTACACTGCTTAGCCGGTATTGCACCACCTGACATCCGCCGGGAAGTAGCAGCCAATAGTGAAAGGACCAAGGAAGAGACATCTCCAGCTCATCCCCTGTTTGGGTATCAGCCAGCACGTCAATGACTTAAATCTAGAAATAGTTTTCTAAGATCTACAGAGACACTTGCTGGAACACCTCAGCAAGCGAGAGTCCAAAAGTGGCAGGCTCAAACCCAGAACCTCAACCAATGGCTGATACCAAATGAGAGACTCCCCCCTGGGCACACAGAAGACTGGGCGCTTGGAAGGCGCTGAACAGACTGCGCTCTGGCACCACGAGATGCAGAGCCAACCTTCAGAAATGGGGCCACAAAGTGGAATCCTCGACATGTGAGTGTGGAGAGGAGCAAACTACTGACCACCTGCTGCAATGCAACCTGAGCCCTGCCACATGCACAATGGAGGACCTTCTTATAGTAACACCAGAAGCACTCCAAGTGGCCAGATACTGGTCAAAGGACATTTAATCAACTACCAAACTCACAAATTTTGTATTTTGTCTGTTTGTTTGCTTTGTTCTGTTAGAAATGTAATATAATTGACTGATTGCTGATGACTCGATAAATAAATAAATTGCTAGGCAGCTTCTTATAGTCAAAAAGTGCAATGTTATTAATTAGGGTATTGGGTGGTTTCTGTGTTCTAGCGGCATTTTCTCCTGACATTTCACCTGCATCTGTATTTATTTATTTATTTATTTATTTATTTTGTACATTTCTATCCCACCCTTCTCCCCACAAGGGGACTCAGAGCAGCCTCATAGGCGTCAACGATGCTTACAACATATACATCAAAGAATACAATAAAACAGTAAAACCGTAAAATCATCTTAAAACATCAAACACATCAGCCAATACATTCATTTACCAGATAATATTAAAATGCCAGTACAACCAAAAATTAAACCAAGAAATCCAGGGTCGCAACCCAAATTCCTTTCCTATTGTCACTATCATCTAATCAAACGCCTGGCCACAAAGTCAGGTCTTCAGTTGTGTTTATAACATAATAAAATATGTTTTAAAAAAACATTACAACTGTACCCTCAATTCACTTCTGACGCGATAAATATAAATAACAGATAAGAGATGGAAAGATAACAGAAAGACAGGCAGACTGATAAATAGAGGGTGCTGGGTGCATATCGGCTGAGCAGAAGCTTGGTTTGCAGCATCTTCTAAAAAGATTTGGCTTCTGCATCAGGGGTGGCTTAAAGTGAGTCGTAACATGATAGGAAATCATCCAGAGCATGAGGTTGACACGCTTGGTGCAGTCACAAACTTGGCTAGAACAGGCATGGGCAAACTTGGGTCCCTCCAGGTGTTTTGGACTTCAACTCTCACAATTCCTAACAGCCTCAGGCCCCTTCCTTTTCCCCCTCAGCCGCTTAAGCGGCTGAGGGGGGAAAGGAAGGGGCCTGAGGCTGTTAGGAATTGTGGGAGTTGAAGTCCAAAACACCTGGAGGGCCCAAATTTACTCATGCCTGGTGCAGAGGCCTCGTTTCCACTTCTCATCCTTCCGTTCTGCAGCCAGACAGATGTTGCGTTTCACCAGGGAAATGACCCCGACTTGGGGTCACCCATCTGAACCACTAGCCACTGACGCGGCTTTGTGTTTTTTCCCAACCCATCCAGGAAATGGAAGACATTCTGCGCTGCTACATTGAGGAAGGAAATGCTGATATGATCCAGCAGATTGAGTTCATTATCAAGCAACTTAAATCAGGTGAACAGAATTCACTATTATTTTCTGTGTTGCAGCTTTTAAAGACAAACCGCTTTTAAGGATGTTTCTTCTGATCAGGATAAAAAGAAGTGGAGTTTTCTGACTGGGGAGTTTCCATGTTCCAAGGCCAGTTCATGGAGTTCTTTTACCGTCACATTCTGACTATAGTCCCATTCATGTCAATCGAACTTGCTAGATATAGTAATTGAAGAGCAGCATCCACAATTGAGACTCGTGCGCCAACTGCAACCGTACCTCGCAAAGGCTGATCTGGCTGGGGTGGTCCATGCCTTGGTCACCTCTAGATTGGACTACTGTAATGCGCTCTACATGGGGCTGCCCTTGAAAACGGCTCGGAAATTCCAACTGGTCCAACGGGCAGCGGCCAGGATGTTAACTGGTGCTCCTTACAGAGAGAGGTCAACCCTCCTGTTCAAGGAGCTCCACTGGCTGCCGTTTATTTTCCGAGCCCAATTTAAGGTGCAGGTGCTTACCTACAAAGACCTAAATGGTTTGGGACCATCCTACCTGCGTAACCGCATCTCCATTTATGAACCCACGCGCACACTTCGTTCATCCGGAGAGGCCCTGCTCGTGATTCCACCTGCGTCGCAGGCGCATCTGGTGGGGACGCGAGACAGGGCCTTTTCTGTGGTGGCCCCCCGACTCTGGAACACCCTTCCCCAAGATCTTAGACAGGCCCCTACATTGGCAGTCTTTAGAAAGAACTTGAAGACTTGGCTGTTCCGATATGCCTTCCCAGAATAGGAAAACTCCAATAACAAGTCCCAGAAGCACTTTAGTAGAATTAAGATCGCTGCACAGATGCACACTGCACTTACCCTATAATCCATTACATATCACCTGTCACATCAGCACTTTTAATTTCTGTACCCATTACTCTGGCCCGGCCCAGTTTTATTGTGTCTTGGTGTATTGTTTATTGCTTGTTGTTTAATATTGCTTTAATTGTTTTTAATTTGCTTTAGGTTGTATTGTTATGTTGTGTTTTGAGGCCTCGGCCTTTGTAAGCCGCATCGAGTCCTTCGGGAGATGCTAGCGGGGTACAAATAAAGTTAATAATAATAATAATAATAATAATAATAATAATAATAATAGTAAGTCTGGACAGTTTTTTCCATAATTGAGTTTATTTGGTGATAAACCCCATTGAATTCAATAATACTTGTTTCCAAGGACTGCAATTCGGTTGCTTTATCCCATGCTTCACAACAGATATATCACATTTAATTCAGTTGAATGTATTTATTTATTATTTACTTACTTAAAACTTTTATATCCCGATCTTCTCTACCTCCGCAGAGGGACTCAGACCAGCTGACAGGAAAAATTCAATGCTAACACTAAAAATCTAAAACATAATATATCAACATTAAATTAACAAATACATATAAGATAAATTACATAAAAGCCGTTCGCCAAGATAAAATCATGTCCAACTCAGTTCGTATATTCAGTCCATATATTGTGGTCAGTAACTTTGGTCGATTGCCGGTCTCAGACATCATTCCGCAAAAGCTTCGTTCCACAGCCAGCCAAGACTTTACTTGCTTCCTAAAGGTCAGGAGGGAGGGGGCAGATCTAATTTCATTCAGGAGGGAATTCCATAGCCGAGGGGCCACCACAGAAAAGGCCCTGTCTCTCGTTCTCACCAGATGCACCCGCGAAGGTGGCGGGACCGAGAGCAGGGCCTCTCCAGACGATCTTAACACTCTTGATGGTTCATAGGGGAGAATACGTTCGTACAGGTAAACTGGGCCGGAACCGTATAGGGTTTTGTAGGTTAAGACCAGCACTTTGAATTGTGCTTGGAAGCTAATTGTCAGCCAGTGGAGCTGGCGCAACAAGGGAGGTGTGTGCTCCCTGTATCCCACTCCCGTCAATAGCCTGGCTGCCAACTGTTGGATAATTGGGGCTTCCGGGCCGTCTTCAAAGGCAACCCCACGTAGAGAGCGTTGCAGTAGTCTAAACGGGATGTAACCAGAGCGTGGACTACCGTGGCCAAGTCAGACTTCCCAAGGTACGGGCGCAGCTGGCGCACAAGCTTTAACTGTGCAAATGCTCCCCTGGTCACCGCTGAAACCTGGGGTTCCAGGCTCAGCGATGAGTCCAAGGATCACTCCCAAGCTGCAAATATAGTTTCAGATAAGTAGCCTCTCGCTTTCAGCATAAAGCTTTTGTTCTTAAAATAATTTTTATTGGGTTGTTGTAGGTTTTTTGGGCTATATGGCCATGTTCTAGAAGCATTCTTTCCTGACGTTTTGCCTGCATCTATGGCAAGCATCCTCAAAGGTTGTGAGGTGAGGAGAGAATGCCTCTAAAACATGACCATATAGTCCGAAAAAACCTACAACAACCCAGTGATTCCGGCCATGAAAGCCTTCGACAATACATAATTTTTATTAATAATTTTCCAAGGGAGGTGAGAGATAAGGGGAGGAAGGAAGGGGAAACATATATAAGAAAAGTGATTGGGAAAGAAGGAAGGAAGGAAGGAAGGAAGGAAGGAAGGAAGGAAAAAGAAAAAATGCATCCAAACATATAAAAAAATGGGTTATAGTTGAAAAAGAGAAAAAGCAATGCAAAAAAAAAAAAAACAAAAAACAGGAAATATAACTATTTAGAACTTCCTTTCTTCTTTATGGTGGAATAGGTAATAACAGAAAAATAATAAATAAATGAATAAAACTATCTATTGTGTTTAACATAATCTCTGTTGTAGTCCATTCCATTTTCTCTGAGTTTTAGATTAACTTCTTTAACTTCTTTTCCTTCATCCAGTCTTTAAACAGAGTCCAATCTGTTATATTTCTGCATTTCCCTTGGGATTTAGCGGTCATGAATGTCAGTTCATCCATATTCATAATGTCCAGCATCTTCTCAAACCATTCTTCTTTCATAAAGCTTTTGGATTCCATCTCTGTAGGCTTCTAGCCATTTGAGGCAATTGTATGATTGTGTTGTCACATTGTTGTTCATTTCCCCTTTTTTTGAGCACACCTCAGCCATCCTAATTTTGGAAAAGTTGTACCAGTGTGTTTGAATACTTCAGAATGGCTGAAGACACTGCTGTGTATTGAATGCCACTGTTACCCAAGTGACTATGCGATGACAACTTGCCTTTTGCAGAAGTGATGAAAATCACAGGGCCAAATGCATCAAGCCTCAGAGAGGAAAACAAATCTACCCCAGATTGCAGGCATTGAGAGAAATAATATGAGCCAGGGTTCAGTCGCTGTTTTATTTCAAGAGGACGGCAGTTGTAGATTCAGTGAATTGGAAGCAAGCTGCCATTCTTATTTGGTGATACTTTTGATCTTTTTTTCTTTTAGATGAGCCACTGGATGATAGCGCAGAGTCTGATGATGAGGAAAAAGAAGATAACGACGAAGTGAGTTTTGAAAGCTTGCCATAGTTTGAATAGATTGGTTAATTGTTTTATTATTATTATTATTATTATTATTATTGATGAGTTTTTTTCGATTTATATACATGTATATATACATAAACCAATACAACACTACCTAACATCTACACAATATTAGTATTTGGTTAGGTCCTCCCCTCCTCTCACCCCTCCCATTTTGGTGAGTTCTCATCCCTTGGGTTGGAGACATTCATATATATTCATATACACTCAAGTATATGGGTGAATAACTCGGGACTATGTCTGTTCTTGTTTTTATTGTATTTTAAAGTTAATTGTATTGTTTTAATCTACTGCTATAAACCGCTCCGAGCCAAATTGGGAGTAGCGGTATACAAGTCAAATAAATAAATTATAAATAAATAATAAATATAAGCTGACCATAATATAAGCCAAGGCACCTAATTTTACCACAAAAATCTGGTAAAATGTATTGACTCGAGTATAAACCAAGCGTGGAAAATGCAGCAGCTACCGGTGAATTTCAAAATAAAAATAGATACCAATAAAATGCCATTAATTGAGGCATCCGTAGATTAAATGTTTTTGATTATTTACCGTAATTTAAGATAAGACTGTCCAACTCTGATTAAACCATTATTATAACCTCCTTCAATGTAAATGTGCTTATCCTTCCAATAATAATAAAGAGAGTGAAATAATAAATATAATAATAACAATAATAATAGATTAAAATAATGGAAATGTTATAATGACAGTAATAATAGAGTAAAATAATAAATGTAATAAAATAATAATAGAGTAAAATAATGTAATAATAATAAAGTAAAATAATGTAAATGTAAATAATGTGAAGGAAAAAGGAAGAGGGAGCGACCAAGGGCAAGATGGATGGATGGCATCCTTAAAGTGACTGGCTTGACCTTGAAGGAGCTGGGGGTGGTGATGGGCAACAGGGAGCTCTGGCGTGGGCTGGTCCATGAGGTCACGAAGAGTCGGAGACGACTGAACAAATGAACAACAAAAAATAATGTAAATATAATAATAATAATAAAGTAAAATAATACATGTAAAATAATAATAATAACAACAAAGTAAAATAGTAAATAACTTTGACTCGAATATAAAATTAGATGAATTGGATGAGTATAAAATTGGATGAAAAACGGCTTATACTCGAATATATACAGTAATTCCATTCTTCCATTCTTCCTTCCTATTACATTGTTTTTCTATTCTTCCTTCTGGCCTGATAGTTGTTACTTATGAATTCCCTACACAAATTGTAACAGATTTAATTATGAAGCCTTCTTTTTCAGCTTTCTTATTTTTAAAATCAAAGTTTAGAAATAGCTCCCAGTCCTTGATGAAGTTTTATTTTTTTTGTTCATCATTGCTAATTTGTCAATTTCTACTATTTTAATGATTTCAACCATTCATTCTTCTCTTGTTGGGAGGGCCGTTGACTTCCAAAACAGTGCGTATAATATCCTTGCTGCTATTATTATGTAGTTCAATCCTTTGGGATTGTTTTATTAATTTATACCCCACCTTTTCCCTGTACAAAAGCTCAAGGTGGCATACAGAGTACAGATTCAGAACTGTACAAAAAAAATCTGTATTTAAAACAACAATTATAACAATCTGCAAAAAAAAATTAATTTACTAAAGGCAGTATTATAAAATAACAATGCAACACGGCAAACTATTAAGAGCCCAGTGTGACCACTGGTGTGTCTCTCTCAGCAGTTTTGATGGGACATTCTGGGAAATATACCAGAATGAAAAGGATGCCAAAAAAGTGGCCTTCAAAGGGTGGTTTGTGAAAAGTCGGGTCTCCTACTCAGTGAGCTCTTCAAAGGGGAACTCTGTGGTCTATTTAAAGGGGAGCTTTAACTGAGGGCTAGGAATAAACATAGCCACAGTCCTACGACTTTGGGCAGCATCCAGCAAGAAGGTCTCCCTTGCGCCCGTCTCCATGCATTGAACAGGAGACGTTTAGAGCTTGTGCTGATGTCATCTTTCAGGTTATAGAAGGCCATTCATCCAGCAGGACAGAAAGAAAGAAAGCCAGTTCTCACCCGCCACCAGTTGAAGGCACAGAAGGCTTTTAAGAACAACTAGAAGACCTAGACCAGGCATGGGCAAACTTGGGCCCTCCGGTGTTTTGGACTTCAACTCCCACAATTCCTAACAGCCGTAGGCTGTTATGAATTGTGGGAGTTGAAGTCCAAAACACTGGGAGGGCCCAAGTTTGCCCATGCCTGGTCTAGACATTCCAAGGTTCTTGAAGAAGAAGAAGAACTTTATTTTTCTACCCTACCTCCATCTCCCCGAAGGCAGAATACAATTAAAAACAAAGCAATAACAATTAAGACAGCATATAACAACATAAAACAGCATAACAAAAGTTAGCAACAACAATAACAGCAGATTAATTTTGGAGGTGGGGAAGAAAGCCACTTACGTATTTATCATGCCAGGGGCAACCAGACAATTGTATTACATTTCTAACAGAACAAACAAACAAACAGACAAAACAAAATTTGCAAGCTTGGTAGTTGATTAAATGTCCTTTGACCAGTATCTGGCCACTTGGAGTGCCTCTGGTGTTGCCGCAAGGAGGTCCTCCATTGTGCATGTGGCAGGGCTCAGGTTGCATTGCAGCAGGTGGTCTGTGGTTTGCTCTTCTCCACACTCGCATGTCGTGGATTCCACTTTGTGGCCCCATTTCTTAAGATTGGCTCTGCATCTTGTGGTGCCAGAACGCAGTCTGTTCAGCGCCTTCCAAGTCGCCCAGTTTTCTGTGTGCCCAGGGGGGAGTCTCTCATTTGGTATCAGCCATTGATTGAGGTTCTGGGTTTGAGCCTGCCACTTTTGGACTCTCGCTTGCTGAGGTGTTCCAGCGAGTGTCTCTGTAGATATTAGAAAACTATTTCTTGATTTAAGTCATTGCCGTGCTCGCTGATAACCAAACAAGGGATGGGACTGAGATGTCACTGCCTTGGTCCTTTCACTATTGACTGCTACTTCCTGGCGGATATCAGGTGGTGCAATACCGGCTAAACAGTGTAATTTCTCCAGTGGTGTAGGGCGCAGACACCCCGTGATAATGCGGCATGTCTCATTAAGAGCCACATCCACTGTTTTAGTGTGGTGAGATGTGTTCCACACTGGGCATGCATACTCAGCAGCAGAGTAGCACAGCGCAAGGGCCGATGTCTTCACTGTGAAGTCACTATGTGAGCTGGTTAAAGGGTAAGGTGGTTTAGTATGGTGGATAACAATGTATAATGGCATAGGAAATATCATGGAAACAGAGCAAATTAACAAGATTATAAACAATTCAGTTAATATAATATAGGACATCAAATTAAATGACGATTCAAGTCATGATACAAGCCATTTGTCATAGGAGTCGTCAATCGAAAGCATGATGAAACATCCACATCTTTAATTCCTTACGGAATGGGACTAGGGAGGGTGCCAGCCTAATCTCCCTGGGGAGGGAGTTCCAGAGATGGGGGGCCACCACTGAGAATGCCCTCTCTCTCATTCCTACCAACCGTTCCTGAGATGGGGACAGGAGCGAGTGAAGAGCATCCCCGGAAGATCTTAAGGACTGTGTGGGCTCGTAAGGGAGGAGGTGGTCGCGCAGATAGGCAGGTCCTGAACCGTTTAGAGCTTTATAGGTGATAACCTGCACCTTGTATTGGGACTGGAAACTTATCGGCAGCCAGTGGAGCTGTTTAAACAGGAGGGTTGATCGCTCCCTGTAACTTGCTCCAGTTAACAATCTGGCCGCCGACCTTTACACCAGCTGTAGTTTCCGAACTATCTTCAAGGGCAGCCCTACGTAGAGTGCATTACAGTAGTCTAATCTTGAGGTAACTAAAGCATGGACCACCATGGTAGACTTTTGGATAACTATATAAACCTGTTTTTTATTGGAATCTGTAAAACAATAATGGAACTCAGAATAGGACATGTGAACCCAAGCTACTACAAGTTGACATAGAACAAGTCGTGTTCTCTTGTTAGAGGAAAGTGACGACAAACTTTCTCTTGAATCAACCTTGCCAAGAAAACCTAGAGTTGAGTCATTGAACGCCAGCAAACCAAAGGTTAAAGACAGCCACGGTGATCTAGTATTCTGCTCTCAGCGAATTTCTGTGAATTTTTGTTTCCCAGGTACATCTTTTAACACCGCAGAGCAGTCTTTCCTTCCTTTTTTGAACAAGGACTGAGAGCAGTTTCCTGCTGTTGGGGAAGTTATCTCTAGTTGATGTGTTACAGCTGCAATACAATTGCAGAATTTCATTCAGGTTTTGAAGGACTGTTTGCTTAGCTTTACGCACGCTCACCAGCAGGAAACAGCAGTTGGCAGATGGTGGCTGGTGTCAAACACCTTCACACTCACAGCTCTTCCTTTACATTTTGTCCTCAAACATTGTCCTTGTATTACCTGTTCTGTAACCCTGTGAAGGACTTTGCGTAATGAGCAGAGGTGTGTGTTCCACTCCAGGCCAAGAAGCCCTCTGATTTTACACACCACACAGCTGGGTAAAATGCAAGCAGTTTATTGAAGATATTTAAAAAGCAATAGCAGTAAAAAGCAATCCACAAAGATAGGTAAATCCAGTTAGGTAGAAAAAGAAGATAGGAACAACAAGTCCAGGAAATAGTCCATCAGAGTTCATGAAAACAAATACTGGAACTTCCAAGGCAAAATCCCTAAACTTGAGCATGAATCAAACAAGGCATTTCAGCATGAAAATAACAAGGCAAATCAACATGGAAATTAAAAGGCAGTGGATACAGGAATCTATCCAAGGCCAGGCTTCCAGGGACCCGAGACAACATCTTGATTCAATTCCAAAGTTGCTTCGTCTGACTACAGATACTATACTTGGCATTTTTATCACCTAATCTACTATATATCCCAAACGGCCAGGAATGGATTTCTTCTCAGCCTTGAATCTGCTATCAGTTTCTCCTGCAAT